TTTTTTTTTTTTTTTTTTTTGTTCCCACCCTGTGCTATGACTCTGGCCTTAAGTAACCTTTTCTTTGTGCTTTCTTGTGTTTTGCTGAGTGAATAAATAGGGCAGTCACTGACTGTGAACTACAATGCAGGAAGTAAAGGAAAGAAAAACGTGCAACCCGCCAGGGACAAGGGTAAGGTCATTGCTGAGCGGTAGGGAAGGACAGAGTGTCCTGACCACAGCAGGGCGATTCTCCCTGCCTGGCCCCAAGTCCCTCCCCCAACTTCCTGGGCCTAAAATCCCCGGGGTCTGCATCCATCTCTACCTGGAAAAGAATCTCTCGACTGCTGAGGTGGTTGTTCTCATCGGAGAAAATCTGCGAAAGTTTCCTGAAAGTAGATAGCGGTTCCCTGGGAGGACAGGAAAAGGGTGGTCAGGGGTCAGTGGCTTGGAGGGGTCAGACCTGGGATGGGGTGAGGAAGAGGTCCCGCCCCAGCTCACCGGCTTACGGCCCCCCAGCTGCGCTTGAGCCGGTAGATGGGGTTAGATTGCAGGGCGGACAGGATGGCGCGCAAGGAGGAGAAGTTCCGCAGTTCTCGGCAGCGCTGCCAGGCGGTGGGGACGCAGGTCAGACCCAGGCATTATCCGCCTTTCATCCTGAAACTTCTTTGTCTTCTTTTTTTTTTTTTTTTTTTTTTTTATTTATTATTATTATACTTTAAGTTGTAGGGTACATGTGCATAACGTGCAGTTTTTTTAGAGATAGGGTCTATGGCCCAGGCTGGAGTGCAGTGGCTCGATCATAACTCACTGGCAGCCTCGAACTCCTGGGCTTAAGCGATCCACATGCCTCAGCCTCCTGCCTCAGTAGCTGGGACTACAGGAGCTTGCCATCGTGTACGGCTAATTTTTATTTTATTTTTATTTATTTTTATTTTTTATTTTTTAGACAGAGTCTCGCTTTATCCTCCAGGCTGGAATGCAATGGCCCGATCTCGGCTCACTGCAACCTCCGCCTCCCAGGTTCAAGCGATTATCCTGCCTTAGCCTCCCAAGTAGCTGGGATGACAGGGGCACACCACCACACCAGGCGAATTTTTTTTTTTTTGTAAGTTTGGTAGAGCCA